CATATGACTCCTCATTTGTCATCATTTACTTCTTTGTCGCAAGTGTCATCTATTTCTGTTAAGTCTGCTAGTGATACATATATGCTAGCTGAGGGTGTTGGGTCTGTCTCCGTTTCTCATATAACTCTTCCTGATGTTTATTACATTCCCAAACTTACTTTGAACCTTGCCTCAGTCAGTCAGTTATGCAAGTCTGGTAACTGGGTGTTCTTTTCTGATTATGTCTGTATTATACAGAATCAACACACCCAGAAGGTGATTGGGATCGGCCGTAGGGTGGGGGAACTATATGTCTTGGAGGTCCTCAAAGTATCTGTTGTTGCTGCTTCCAGCATTGATTTATCTTCTTTTCGTTTGAGTCCTTTGTCGTCTGAGTTTTATCTTTGGCATTCTCGTTTGGGACATGTGTCTGTATCACGGTTGAATTTCTTAGCATCTAGTGGTGTTTTGGGTCATTTAAACTCTTGTGATATTTCTGATTGTAGTGGTTGCAAACTAGCAAAATTTTCTGCTTTACCCTTCAATAAAAGTATGTCTTGTTCTACTGCTCCTTTTGATATTATTCATTCTGATGTGTAGGGTCCTGCACCAGTATCCACAAAGGGTGGGTCAACCTATTATGTATCTTTTATAGATGATTATACTCGATATACATGGGTTTGTCTTATGAAACGCAGATATGATTTCTTTGGTATTTACAGCAATTTTAGAGCTCTTGTTAAAACTCAACATTCGGCTGTGATTAAGTGCTTCAGGTGTGATTTAGGGGGTGAATATTCCTCTAATGATTTCACTAAGTTACTTGCTTCTGATGGTACCATACACTAGTCTTCGTGTACTGACACACCTCAGCAAAACGGTGTGGCAGAACGAAAACATCGTCATATTGTTGAGACTGCCCGTTCATTGCTCCTGTCTGCGCAGGTCCCTAGTGCCTTTTGGGGAGAAGCAGTCCTAATTGTTGTGTATGTGATTAATCGTATCCCTACTTCATTGAATTCAGGAATATCTCCTTTTGAGAAGTTATATGGTCATCCACCAGACTACTCTTCCTTACGAGTTTTTGGATGTACTTGTTTTGTTCTTCGTCCTCATGTTGAAAGGAACAAGCTGGGGCCGAAATCTGCTATTTGTGTATTTTTGGGGTATGGGATTGGTCAGAAAGGATACCGTTGCTATGATCCTGTGAGTCAAAAGTTATATGTTTCTCGGCACATTACTTTTTTGGAACATATTCCTTTCTACTCGATTCCTGCTACAGCCCACAATGTAACAAAGTCTGATCTTCTGCGTATTGATCCTTTTAATGAAGATATAGAGGCTCAAGACTCATCTATGCCACATGATCCTGCAGCACATGACACACCCACTTCTTCAGAGGGTGCCTCGACTCCACCTGTTCCTGAGCCTGATCCTCCGATTATTGAAGTTGAGGATCCTCCTCCACCACCACCCCTCAGGAGATCTTCTCGTCCGGTCAAGTCCACCAAGCTACCAGATTTTTCTTACTCTACATATTCAGGACTGTTTGCTTCATTTATAGCAAGCATCCATCATCTGTCTGAACCTGAATCATATAGAGAAGCTGTTTCAGATCCTCTTTGGCAGAATGCTATGGCTGAAGAACTCACTGCTCTTCATCAGACTCATATATGGGATTTGGTTTCTCTTCCTCCTGGGGAAACACACGATAGGTTGTCGTTGGGTGTACAAGATAAAAACAAAAGCTGATGGCTCTGTTGAACGATATAAGGCTAGACTTGTAGCAAAAGGGTATTCCCAACAGTATGGTTTTTACTACGAGGAGACATTTGCCCCAGTTGCAAAGATCATGACAGTTCGTACTATGATTGCAGTTGCATCCGTTCGACAGTGGAAGATCTTTCAAATGGATGTCAAGAATGCTTTTTTGAATGGTGACCTTCATGAAGAGGTTTATATGACCCCTCCTCCAGGAATTCAACACCGACCGGGCGAGGTTTGTCGGCTTCGCAAAGCTTTGTATGGGCTCAAGCAAGCCCCTCGTGCTTGGTTTGAGAAATTCTCCACAGTGATTACCTCTCTTGGATTTGTCCAGAGTAATCACGATTCTGCTCTGTTTGTTAGATGCTCGAGTGCAGGACGGATTCTTCTGTCCTTATATGTGGATGACATGATTATTACAGGTGATGACCATGGTGGTATTGAGTCTTTGAAGCATGATCTAGCTCGTCGATTTGCTATGAAGGATTTGGGCTTGATGCGTTATTTCTTGGGTATTGAGGTCGCTCGGTCTAAGAAAGGGTACCTTCTTTCCCAGACTAAATATATATCTGACTTGTTTACACGGGCGGGACTTTCTGACAATCGGACTGTTGATACCCCTATTGAAACCAATGCTCGATACTCTCCTACTGATGGTGTTCCTTTGTCTGATCTGAATCTTTATCGTACTGTGGTGGGAAGTTTGGTTTATCTCACAGTCACTCGTCCAGATATTGCTCATGTTGTTCATATTGTCAGTCAGTTTGTTACTGCACCTACCTCTGTTCATTGGGGAGCTGTTCTTCGTATTCTGAGATATCTTCGTGGCACTCAGTTTCAGACTCTCTTGTTTCCCTCGATGTCTTCTCTTGAGTTACGTGCCTATAGTGATGTTGATTGGGATGGCGATCGTCATGATCGTAAGTCTACCACTGGATTTTGTGTATTTCTTGGAGAGTCTCTTATTTCATGGAAGAGCAAGAAACAGGATGTTGTCTCTAGATCTTCCACGGAGGCTGAATATCGTGCTATGGCTGTAACTACATGTGTGATTATCTGGTTACGGTGGCTGCTTGCGGATATGGGAGTTTACATTTCTTCACCTACTCCCTTGAATTGTGATAATAAAAATGCGATACAAATTGCGAAGAATTCTGTTTTTCATGAGCGGACGAAGCACATTGAGATTGATTGTCATTTTACTTGTCATCATCTGCAGCTTGGGACCATTTCGCTTCCATTTGTTTCATCAACTTTGCAGCTTGCGGATATTTTTACGAAGGCTTTATCGGCTCCTCGGTTTCGGTTCTTATGTGACAAACTCTCAATGTTTATTGATGCGGCATTGTGAGTTTGAGGGAGGATGTTAGTCTATATTATTAGCCCGCTTGTTTATGGGCCCTTTTTGTCTTTAGCCCATTAGAGTTTCTGTCTAGCTAGTATTTATATCCGATTTATTCCTTGTAGTCTATATGCTTTTCTCTGAGAACCCTTGTAATTTCTCTTTGATATAATCATATGACAATGTTATCAAGTTGTAGATGAAGACTATTGAATCTTCCGTTAATTTCTTATCCAATTAGTATTTAATTCAATCCACAATGCTCCGATGCAAGTAACATTGTATCAATGCCAACCAGCCAACCAACCAACCAATACAAATTTTACCCTAATAAACAAAACTTTGTGGATTTAGGTAACGTGCTTTGACTTTACTTAAAATTTTGTTGATACAAAAGGCTCCATTTCCACTCAAAATACAAATTTTATACAAATTTTCTAGTTTAGTCATTCAAGGCTCCATTTCCACTCAAAATACTCCAACTGGAATAATAATACCTACTAGACGAGTTTCATTGAGAAATGCAACTTATGTTGATGTAGGCAACCTACTTTGGCTTTATCTCAAAAGTGCCACAAGTTGAACCGCTCGAATATCCATATCCATTCTTTTAAAATTCAATTCCATATCACAATACTCAAACTAAGAGTATAAGATACAAGCGTGCAATAAGATGATTTTTCACCAAAAATGTATATCTTCCTTTGTCCTTTTCATTTAATCTTTACATACTTTTACCTTCTTATAAAAAAATTTGTATTTGTTTAGGAAGGTATAGCTTCTTTCCCTTCATCTTAGGATTTTTTTTCTTCTATTATATATTAGTTAGGGTTCTTCTATACATTTGAGCCTTTACAATATCAATTACGCAATACTCAAAAGGACATTTATCATGAGTTTAGAAAACTTTTTTGGGAATATTATATTACAAGAAAGTAACGCAAACTTTGTCAAACAAAATCTCTTTAATTTATCAGATGTTCTCTTTGAAGTTCCATTTATTGAGCAATAATTATGTCAAAGAACCGGATTCGAATTTACAATAAGTTATTACCACGAAACCGGGTATCCGCTTTCGGAACCGGAACCGCCATGGAACCGTCGGTTCCGGAACCGGAACCGCCTTAAACGGTTCCGGTTCCGGTTCTCATTTTTACGGAACCGCTACCCGCTGGGTAACCGCCGGAACCGGTTTATATATATATATATATATATATATATATATATATATATATGTTAACTAGTCTAACATAAGTTTAGACGTGTTATTAGTTTGTTAATAAGATGGTTTGCTAATAACATGGTTTTCATTTTTGGACAATGATTGGATACCTTTTCATTTACAGAACTCCATTGTAAACATTAATTTTAGTGGTTTGCGATAATAAGATGCTAATTATTATATGGATATGTTAATAAGATGGGAAACTATAAAATTGCAAGAATTTGAAAAGCAATTAAGACTTGACAGAGGAACACTTGACAGAGGAACAGAGAGTTATAATATGTAAACATCCACTAACAATTTTCATTTGGTTTTCAACATTTTTAACAATATTTGGTTTTTGACAAATATGACATGATAATCGTATTCAAAAACTAATTTATAATGTTCACTATTAATTTTTAGTTAATAATATATGGTTAGTTTATGGTTTATAACGATTAAATTATAAGAAAGAAAATTACGAACCGGGTACCCGGTACCGGAACCGGTTCCGGTTCCAAGATTTCAAGAACCGCCGGTTCCGGTTCCGGTTCCGGTTCCGGTTCTAGAGAATTAGGGTGGGTACCCGCCTTTGCTCACCCCTAGATACCATGGTGTATGACTCTATGTTTAATATGAAAACAAGTTTGGTTCATTGCATTGCAGTGCCAAAATGCACAGCCTAAGCACACAAAAACAAACAATAAAGCCAAATTGTAAAAAATTAAGATACTCTTAGGTGAACAATTAGCATCCTGATTGCTGACCCCTGCAACTTGTCAACGGATAAAACAACCTCACCATTGGTTTGCTCAGAGTGCGTCTCCAAGACATTCTCCCCAACCCAAAGTAGTGTGTTTTCTGATATAGTCCAAACAAAGATGATTTGGTTTAAGAATGTAGAAAAAACATTGAATGATGTAAACCAAATAGTTTTTCAGAAGCAGTTCTAAAAATCACCAGATGCCTTGAAATGGTTCAAGGTTCAAATGTCATGATCAATGGTAACAAAAATATTTTAAAAGTCGTAATGGAAAAGGGTATACAACTTTTGTGTGTTAAGTTTTCTTCCTGTATGTATAGTACTTAATTTGTTTTACAATGTAATTATTGATTTTCGGTTGAAAAACTAATTATATAGTATCAATTTCAAAATTCAAAACAAAGTAAGATGATCAGTAGAAAACAGAGAAATTAAGTACCTGCTATAATAGTTGTTTGTGAATAGGCTTTTCTCCCGAGCCTACAGAGGCTCACCAAATCATCCCTAGAGCACTGTGTTATTCACATATCCACATAGCACACATCATCATTGAAATCTATGGTTTGTATCATGGATCTAAAACCTAATGACTGCAGAAGCTCTCTCGACCCACAAATACGCAGTCCACTCAACAAGATAATGATCCGAGAAATATGACTTATGCATGCACAATGGCAGAGATTGAGATATTTTAAGCATTTCATCTTACAAATGCTGACCGGGATATCTTGTAAAAGCTTGCAAAAGCTGAAATTGAGGATCTCTAGATGTTCTAATCGGTCAAGATCCTCAGGTAACTTCTCAAGCAATGAACAATCATCAAGTTCGAGAGATTCAAGATGTTTTAACATACAAATGCTATTAGGAAGATATTTAATCTTTGCAGATGTCAAACACAGATTCCTTAAACATTCTAATCGGCCAAGATCTTCAGGTAACTTCTCAAGCAACCGACAATCATACAGTTGAAGAGATTCAAGATGTTTCAACATACAAATGCTATCAGGAAGATCTTTAATCTTTTCCGATGACAAAGTTAGCTTCTTTAAACCTTCTAATCGGCCAAGATCCTCCGGTAATTTCTCAAGAAACTGACAAGAAAGTTCGAGGGATTCCAGATGTTTCAACATATAAATGCTATCAGGAATATCTTTAATCTTTTCCGATGATAAACTTAGCTTCCTTAAACATTCTAATTGGCCAAGATCCTCGGGTAATTTCTCAAGAAACTGACAAGAAAGTTCGAGGGATTGCAGATGTTTCAACATATAGATGCATTCAGGAATATCTTCAATCTTTTCAGATGACAAAGTTAGCTTCTCCAGACATTCTAACCGATCAAGATCCTCAGGTAATTTCTCAAGAAACTGACAAGAAAGTTCGAGGGTTTCCAGATGTTTCAGCATACAAATGCTATCAGGAAGATCTTTGATCTTTTCACAAGACAAAGTTAGCTTCTTTAAACATTCTAATCGGCCAAGATCCTCAGGTAATTTCTCAAACGATGAACATGACTCAACTTCGAGAGATTTAAGATGTTTCAACATACAAATGTTATCGGGAAGATGTCTAATATTATTTGTACAAGAAATATGTAGCGTCTCTAGACATTGTAGCTGATCAAGGTCCTTGGGGACCTCTGGAATACTGCCTTGGAGTTTAAGCTCTCTTAAACGTTCTAACCCACAAATGCTTCTTGAAAACATATCAAGGTCTGTGCAAGCACACAGACCAAAAGAAATAAGCTTCTCAAGGTTTCTAGTCAATAAGGGTCGATCTTCTTTATAAAAACATTTAAACTGAAACTTTGGGAAATTACTATCGGGGTGTAATGGGCATGCATCTAGGGACTCTGCAGTCAGATGTAACTCAGCTAAAGGACCAACCTCACTACAAGAAGCTTTACTCTGTATGTCAAACTTAAATGAGATAAACCTCAAACAACCGCTTAAGTCCAAGTAGACAAGCTTTTTTAGCGATTCATTGTCCATGTGAAGTTCTACAAGATTGGAACAATTTTTAAGATCTAACTTCTCGAGATTTGGAGTCAGCCTCAGGTCAAGCTTACTGATCTTTGAACACCTGATGTTAAGGAATGTGAGCTTCTGACATTCATCGCCCATGTGAAGTTCTTCTAGATCAGAACACATTTCAAGATCTAAATACTCGAGATTCGGAGTCAGCCCAATGTCAAGGGTCCTCAACTTCGAATATCCAAGTTTGATGGATCTCAGATTTGGTGATCTATCAGGCATGTGAAGTTCTACCAAAGACGAACATCTTGTAAGATCTAACAGCCATAGATTGAGAGCTGACCCAAGGTCAAGGGTCATCAACCCTGACCAACTGAGGTCAACGGTTTTGAGCTTTATATATCCAGCAAGCATGTGAAGTTCTACAAGATTGGAACAATGATTAAGATCTAACGTCTCGAGATTTGGAGTCAGACTAAGGTCAAGGTTCCTGAACTTTGAATGCCTAATGTTAAGGAATGTGAGCTTCTGACATTCATCGCCCATGTGAAGTTCTTCTAGATCAGAACATATTTCAAGATCTAAATACTCGAGATTCGGAGTCATCCCAATGTCAAGGCTCCTCAACTTCGAATATCCAAGTTTGATGGATCTCAGATTTGGAGATCTATCGGGCATCTGAAGTTCCACCAATCTGAACATCTTGTAAGATCTAAGAGCATGAGATTGAGAGCCGACCCAAGGTCAAGGCTCCTCAACTCTGACCAACTGAGGTCAACGCTTATAAGCTTTTTACATCCAGCAAGCATGTGAAGTTCTACAAGATTGTAACAATTTTTAAGATCTAACGTTTTGAGATTTGGAGTCAGCTTGAAGTCAAGGTTCTTGAACTTTGAACGACTGATGTTAAGGAATGTGAGCTTTTGACATTCATCGCCCATGTGAAGTTCTTCTAGATCAGAACACTTTTCAAGATCTAGATACTCGAGATTTGGAGTCAGCCCAATGTCAAGGGTCCTCAACTTCGAATATCCAAGTTTGATGGATCTCAGATTTGGAGATCTATCGGGCATCTGAAGTTCTACCAAATCTGAACATTTTGTAAGATTTAAGAGCTCGAGATTGAGAGCCAACCCAAGGTCAAGGGTCTTCAACATTGACCCACTGAGGTCAAGGGTTATGAGCTTTATACTTCCAGAAAGCATGTGAATTTCTACCAATTCACGGCATCCTATAAGATTCAATGTCTCTATATTTGGAGTAAGCCCAAGATCAAGGGTCCTGAGCCTTGACCAACTAAGGTCAAGGATTCTGAGCTTGTTAAAAACCTATAATATAAGAAAAAAAAGTATGGTGAATATTGGTGTAATAACAAAGCAATGGATGCATTGCATTCAAATGAGCAACATAAAAGAAATAATCAACCATAATTCTACCTTTCTTTCTCCCCCTTCCCAAAGTTTTATGATTTTACTGGAATTCATCTCAAGTGCAACAAGATTAGCTGGTTTAAATGTTATGGGTAAAGACCTGAAGGGATAATAGTTCCATTGCAGATATCGTAAAGCGTCTGGGAATTTAATAAATTTCCAATTCGGATGAGAACAATCGCTTTTACTTTCACCACGCACGTAAAGAAATCTAAGTTCCTTCATTTTTCTAAGACCATTCATTAGAATTTCCGGACTGAGGTCACGTGTGTCAAATTTTATATATCTTGTCTCTTGGGTACCCTGTAATAAAAAAGAAGTCACCATGAAATTTGTGTCGTAATTAATGAAAATGTGTTAGCTTTAACTTAGAAATAAACTTGATCCTTACCAAGTCATTAGTCAATACATCTTCAATTTCCTTGGTAATCCACAACCGACTATGTTTGTTAGGCTTATCCGGATGCAACCGACGAACAATATTCCTGCCCATCTCTTCAATATGGTCATGCATGCCCAAGCACTCTTCATCATCAGAAGAATCTTCATAAATGGTTATGAGAGATTTTTGCTCAAGAACTCTTAAACCAGTTCTAGCATGATATCCACAGCTTTCAAGCACTTTGATTGCAAAGTCTTTCGACCATCCTTTAAATATACATGCAACATCTAGGAATATTTCTTTGTAATCCTCCTCTAGACTGGTATAGCTTATTTCTAATTTTTTCAAAGTTTCCATTAACGGAATTGTTTTAAGTCTTTTCAGAGCATCTATCCATTCAAGCTCATTTTTACCACAAAGAAATGAACCCAAAACTTTGATCGTTAAGGGAAGACCAGCTGCATAATGCACAACTTGTTGTGAGAGCGCTTCGTACCCTATAACTGGAATCACTCTCACAAAGGCATACCTATTGAAGAGACAAATTGCTTCATTATCAGATAACAACTTGACGTTATGAATCGACTTCACTCGATGTGCTATGAGCACTTGCTCATCTCTTGTTGTAATGATAATTCTGCTTCCTGGCTTAAACCAATTCATCTCACCAGCCAACGCCTCAAGCTGTTCTATATGATCCACATCATCCAGAACAAGAAGAACCTTTTTACCATGAATCCATCTCTTCATCATGCTTTTCCCGTGATAAACACTACTTACAGTGATGCCTTGATCTTTTATGATATCAGAAAGAATTTGGTTCTGCAAGGACTTCAATCCGGACAAAGAAGCATTTGAAACTTCCCTAACATTCTCAACGAAGCTTGCACCTTCGAATTGGAAGGATATTTGATCAAAAACAGCCCTGGCTAAAGTTGTCTTCCCACCACCTCCCATTCCTTTGATCCCGATCATGCGAACATCATTTAAACTTGTTCCTAGAGATGATAAAACATCATAGATACGAGTCTCCATGCCTACTAATGTTTCATCAATGCTGAAATTGACGGATCGTAACTCTAGTGAAATTTCTCCAACAACTTTCTGGATGAATTTAGCTTCATGCCTGTATTTTAAAGAGGATTTAATTAGCTTATTTAAAAATCCCACATGAAGAATTTTACTTTCAAATCCAACATACATATGTAAATGAAGTAATAACATAGTTGTATAATGAATCATATTTCATGTTCAAACTTTCAACAAGACTCCGAGCTTGAGTTAGAATTTGACAATACAACATGAGATGCCATGTCCAAGCCTTTTACATCAAGGGTAAACTCAGATTAGAAGAAAAAAAAAGCAGAGTGAAAGAAAATTGCAAATATATGATGACAGAATTATAAACACCTGCATACGAGAAACTAAACTAATAAATAAGTCAACGACTCAACAATGTTTTTTTTTGCTAAGGGTTGAACTAAAGCAAAACCCTCAAGCACCTCTATTCATAAATTAAGAAAGTTACTAAAATCAGAAACCGATTTGGAATAGTAATGATTAGCAACTATTTAGTCGTTTTGAGCCGGATTTTTAAGAAATTGGACATCGATGGTGCTTTGTGTAATGTTTATATTATATTCGACCTTGATTGATTCAAAATGTGGCCAAACTTGATAAAAAGAACCAGAAATAAAGAATAATGCAAATAAATTGATGAAGTGATTACCTATCGGCAGTATTCTTCAACTCCCATCCGGCCAGATCCGCTGCTTCTTTTAGAGCATCCCTCCACTTCTCTGCAGCCTCTTCATTTTCATGATCGGCAAAGGCTTTTTCAACTGCCCCACTTTGTCTGCGGACTTCCGATGGTTCGACATCATAGAAGACGGGGTAGGCAGTATGCTCGGTGGTCTTGTGACACTCGATGATCTTCACAAGCTCATCTAAGCACCAAGAGGAAGCGGCATAGTTTTTGGAGAAAACAATGATATAGAATTTTGAATCTTCAATGGATCTGATGAGCTCATTACAGATCCTTTTGCCCTTTCTGATTCTGTCATCATCCTTGTAAGTGTGAATGTTTTTCTGTTGAAGAGCATGATAAAGATGATCAACAAAATTTGTACGAGTGTCTTCGCCTCTAAAACTCAAAAACACATCATACTTAAAACTCTTGTAAATGGATGAATTCGAAGAAGACGCCATTGATAATACGCTGTAAGTCTTTGTTGAAGAACTTAAACAAAACGATTGCAAAGAAAGGAGGAGATGAAGTGAATAACCCTCGGCACGATGGTTCAATAATGGGAATGTGAAAGTCAACCCCAAAAAATACCAATAAAATCAACCAAACCTACCACTTGTATTTTTTTGCTTATTTAAAAACTGGACCTTTTAAAAATGGTTATATAATTTAGAGCGATTACATAAATGATCCTTGTGGGTCAAAAATTACATTTCCATTACAATTTTTTTTTCTTTTTCACCATTCGGTCATAAAATGATTGTATACTAAAGGATGTTTCGGATTGTTTTTAAAACCACTTATAAATTCTTATTCGGTTTTTTAGACTATTAGGTTTTTAATTTATAAACCAATCTAAAATCCAAAATAATAATTCGGTTTTGCTAAAAACCAATCCAAAAATTTGAATATCTGAATCAAATAGTCTGATCAAAATTGTCCAATTGGACAATTCGATTTTATCGGAATAATGAACAACCCTGGTCTTGATCTATGTTGGAAGAGCTGAAAATGAGCAATATTGACATGAATGTTCTTTCGAAGTGTGCAAATCAAAGAGCCCTTATTCGATTTGTCTCGTTTAAACACATCAACTTGAACTAACTGAAACATGTTTCGACATCGATTTTCTTCTTACTAACACATGTGGAAATAAAGTAAAATAAAATTCTTATCGAAGAACCCTGATTGGAGTACCTCGTCATCAAAGAACACTGATTCGATTCAGAAGATTGATTTGGGAGGTGGCATAGAGATACCGATGAATAATCTATCCACTGGGGGAGGTGGGAGTTCATTAGGTCTAAAAGGGCATACAAGTTGCCGGAGCCTTGGATTTCTGTAGATCTTATTCTAAGATCATCTACAAACATGTGCATTCTTGATCTTTTTCATGTTTCGATGCGGATTTTCGAAGTTAAGCAGAGACGAGAAGGTTAACAAGTTATTTTGGTGTTTGGAAATGGAGTTAAACCATCTGGAGAGTGGAGAAGTCAGAGTGGTGCCCACTTATTTTTTTAATTAAAATATAAAACCATTCAGAGAGTGGTAGAAATAATAAAAAGGTCAAAACTCAAAACTCATTTGATATGGGCTATGGAGTATGGACCTATGGACTGAATAAGACAATGTATAATTACTAAATTATGTGGTTATCCTAGACCGAACAGAAGATCAGTTTTGAACTAATTTCGAAAAGGTTTGAAACTGAACGGTCTAAAACAAGATTGGCCCAATATTTTTCAGGACCGGTCCAAAAAGACTGGACTGTTCCGTCCAAGACCCTAACCGAGAATGGTCTCTAAAAAGACCGAAAGCCAATGTTTATAAACATATCATTTGTGTTAATTACAAAATTTTTAATTACATATAACCCAACTTTTCTTTTTATCTTTTATTAAATTTTAGTGTATCGTTTTTAGTAATCTAAATGTATCATTTTAGTGTTACTCATACATTTGATAACGAAAAAACTTGAAATTGTAACACCCTGTTTCGAGTCGTTTCATAATTCGGGGCCGTGACCCGAAGATCAGGTATCATAAGGCTTCAGGATTTGGGGAAAGAGAGGTTTAGACCCATTAGGAAGTGGGTAATGTAGATTATGTGATCCAAGAGTTCAGTTTGTGCTTTGGATTAAAAGGGTAAAATGGAAAAAGTGGTGTTTCAGACTTCTTTTATGAATTAAGGATTTTAGTTCGGTATGTTTTAAGTCAAAAGTAATTATATAGGGTTATAGAGCTCCTTAATACCTTTTCGTAGATATAAAGGTCGTCGAAAACGGAGTTGGAAGGAAGGAGTTATGATCGTTAAAGTTAGGAAGGTTTTGGGCTGTCTAGTACATTGGGCGTAATGGGCATCCCTGGTACGTTGGGCGTACCAGGAGTATGTTGGGCGTACGCGATCAGAACCCAAACCCTATTTTTGTGGTTTGAGCCCTGTTTAAGCTCCTTAACTTCCCCAAACCCATTCCATTGTCAGCATCCACCTCTCCAACACCCTCCCTTGAAACCCTAACCCTATTTTGAGCCTTATGAGCAAAATAATGTGTTCTTGAGTGCTTTGGAGTGCTCTTGGTGCATCTTGGAGAAGAAGGAGCTCATTGGAGAAGTTTTGGTTGTATTGGAGCTTGTAGATCCAGACTTTGTTCACCTTGATCTTTCTTCTAGAGGTATAAAGCTTGAATCTTGATGATGTATTTGTTAGATCTAGCTAGTTTTGGAAGTTATGAGCTTTTGGTCACTTTAGTGCATAAAGTTTAGATCTTGAGAGTTTGTGACCTTGTTATGGATAAAGTTGGAAACTTTATCCATCTAAACATCATATTGATTTAGATCTAAAGGTTGGAGACTTGTACTTAATGGATTAGGTTGAAAAAGATGCATTTTTGATCCCTTTGAGACTTAAAGACTAGATCTTGGTCATTTGGACCATTTTAATGGATAAAGTTTGAAAATTTATCCATTATGTAGTTATTAGGAACCATAAAAATATGATATTGGTCCTTCTTTTCCTTCCATGCATGAGTTGGTGGTCTTTTGATGTAGTTAGAGATTTACGGCTTTGGGTTGGACACCATTAAGCCGTGCAGAGTCATAAAGTCAGGAACCTTATGGCTTCAGACGTCCCATAAGAATCAAATCTGGAAGTTATACATGGTGTCTTAAGGAATTAAGAGGTTTGGAGATGAATTTAGGTTTCAGCGTCGTACGCTGGGCATACCACGTTGGTACGCTGAGCGTACGCACCTGAATGGCTTTTGGGCCATTTTTGGGCCTCGAGTCATTTTGGGTTTGGGCTTTTCTTTGTAGGCCTAAGTATAGGAAGGGTAAAATAGTCTTTTACCCATTGTTATGAGGAGATATGAATTGGACCTTGAATTATGGGAAATTATCCTAATTATCAATTAAGGATAATTTGGATGTGTTTAGTGTGAGGAACCCGGTAGTAGCAGCGCGTGTGTGTTTTGGTTATCTCGAATTGAGGTGAGTCTCCTCACTATACTAAGGGGGTCGAAGGAACTAACGCCAGCCTATAGGATTATATTATGTAGAAAGACCAGGTGTTGGAACCTAGCAATTTCATGAAAGACCAGCAAATATATATGCAAGACCAGGGTTTGGACCTTGGCAGTTATATGTAGTATGCTAGTTGTCTTTGTGATACTTGCATGGAAGACCAGGAAGTGGCTCTTGGCACTTATTTGTAAGACCCAGGGATTGGCCCCCAAACTGGCAAGTAAAGACCATGATACGGCTCATGGCATAATGGCAATTATAAGACTGTGGATGGCACATATCAATCTCTATTGTATGTATAGTATGTGGTATTTCGGGGAACTCACTAAGGTTTGTGCTTATGGTTTTATGTTTATGGTTTCATTTACTTCCCGTACGAAAGGGAAGGGCCTGGCGTGACTGCAACGCATCCACCAGAGTTTTCCACTCTGATGTTTAACTAATATATTCACTTTGATCGGTTTTGGAACAACTCATTTGTATGATTTATTGTTTTAAAAATGAAAATTTTACTATAACCTTTGGGACGTTACAAGTTGGTATCAGAGCCTTGGTTTGACGGATTCGGGCACACTCTCAGGTGTGTCTGAACTCAAACTGAGGATTTCTAAAATCTTTTAAAAGAAAATGATTTCTAAAAATATTTTTTTATAAAGAAAAAGGAGGTGTGATGCGTGCAATCAACCGGGCTCAAGTAAGTGATTCCTAGAATACCCATTCATGTTATTATGTTATATGATATGAATGATTGCATGCTAGATAAGGCTAAGGATACTTACAAGAATTGCATGATAAATTGTCCTGATATGTGATGCCTTGTAGCCTAGGAGGAATTAGATGTTATGCTAGATTTGGAATCTGTATTGGTAGAAGTAATTGCTAAATGTATGCTTTAAAAATTGTATACGATTAGAATCATATAGCCATAGAATGACTGATTTATCCTTATTTCATGTTCCTTATTTGGTTATGGTCTTAGGGTAGAGTATTTTATTCGACAGTCTATTTGATCCTGCATTGTGTATAATTTGCATGCATAAGGCAACTGCCAGTGAGAGTTGAAGTTTCTAGCATGGTATTAGCAACTGAGCTCGGGATGTCTCTTATTTGCTTTGTAGCTTGTAGTGTTACTGAACGAATGTTGCTTGCTTTGTGCTTTATGGGACCCTTAGTGAGGTAAGTTAACTATTAAGTGAATACGTTAAGTCACATGCTGCAAAGGTTAAATAATCTCAAAGTGATGGATTTGACTTTATTGCGCAACTCTCGTTCTAGTCTAACCGTTATAGGGATGAGTCTTTTACTCGAAGGATTATCTAAAATTTGTTGCATGTGATTGTATTCATGAAGTAGTTGGCTGACATTAATGGGAGTTCTTCAGCAGTTGATGGCAGGGTGAGGTCGGGAACCTAGGAAAGCCTAGGAAGTGTTTTAGTAGGTTTGGATGTTTTGTTTAGTGAGTTCTTGGAGTACAAATTTGAGAGGGTGACTTAGAGGATTCGGGGTAATTCTTGAGGAAAGTATGGATAGGCGTGGAAGGTAGTATTAGGCCTGTACTACTGAAAGCACAGACTCCATACTCGAATCGAAGAGAGTCATAGAGAATCTCGGAAGCCTGTAGGATGAGGTTTCTTTGGATATGTTTTGATCATTTGTATGTGTGCTTTTCAGGATGGTGATGATCATGCGTAGAGGAGGTTCAGGTTCTGGTACAGGCTCAGGTTCAGGTGTTGACCCGGTGGTTGAGCAGATGCGGGAGTTCAGTTCGTCAGAGATCACCCGTTGTATTTTGGAGCAGAAACCTGTGATCTTCGGTTCGGTCAAAGAGGGGATCATGGAGATTTTAGATGAGCGTCTGAGCATGTTCCGCACTGAGATTATGGCTATTGTGGGAGCTCTCACTCTTTCCTTCTGCGAGTTCCGTGCTTGTGGAGCTCCTGAGTTCTTCAGGGAGAAGGACCCCATTGCTAGTAGGAGGTGGTTAGCAGATATGGTGAACGCTTTTCGGACGAGCTTCTGCCCCGAGGGGTCGAAGGTCAGATTTGCTTCTTGTCTTCTGAAAGACAGAGCGTGAGATTGGTGGGAGGAGGTAGACTTCGCTTTAAGAGGCGGGGCCATTGAGACGACGATTTGGGATGAGTTTGTGACCCGGTTTAGGGTGGAATTTGCACCATCTATCGAGGTACAACAGTTGGAGAGGGAGTTTCAGGACCTTCTCTAGACGACTGAGACTATGGCGGAGATCACCACCAAATTTAGGGAGATGGATCTTTTGGTTCCACAGTATGCCGCAAACGAGGAAATGAAGAAGACTCGATACCATGATATGCTGCGAGACGATATCAGGGAGTTTGTTAACTTTTCAGCTTGTCGGACTTTAGAGGACATGATAGCTAGAGCCCGAGAGTGGGAGATTGATTTAGAGCACCTCGGGAAGAGGAAGAACAAGTGCAGACAATTAAGGGTCCTGTAAAGAGACCCAAGACTTCTGATCAGCAGGTGAGAGGCCAGCAGGTCCGAGGTTAGTGCAGCACGTGCGAGAAGTAGCACGATGGAGTTTTTCGATCTAGGGGTTCGTGTTGCGACAAGTGTGGCAAGCTTGGTCATGTCAACAGATATTGTCCCCAGGGGACGAATCTATTATGTTTCCACTGCAACCAATTGGGCCACAAGAAGGCCGACTATCCGGAGTTGATGAGGGGAGTAGTGAGGGCACCTGCTCCAGCCACTCTGAGGATTACTGATGGTCGTGAGGGCAGAGTGGATGTTCCCGTGGTGAGGAGTTGAGCATTGCAGTCATAGGATGAGGAGATCTGAGTTCCACTAGTTGACGTCATAGGTATGTGATGTTTTCTTTCCTT